TCATTTTGAAAATTGTTTTAATTTCCATCTTAATTTCATTGTTGAACGAAAGATCATTCAGGATCAAATTGTTTCATTTCCATGTATTTGTAAAGTTTGTAGGTTTTTTCTTGGAATTGATTTCTAGTTTAATTCCATTGTGATCTGAGAAGATATTTGATATTATTTCAGTTTTTAAAAATTATATTGAGACTTGTTTGTGACCTATCATATGGTCTGTCTTGGAAAATGTTCCATGTGCTAATGAGAAGAATTATATTCTTCAGTTTTCAATAGAATGTTTTGTAAAAGTCTGTTAAGTTTATTTGTTCTAGTGTCCAGTTTAAATCCAGTGTTTCTTTGTTGACTTTCTGCCTCAATGATCTGTCTAGTACTGTCAGTGGACTGTTGAAGTCTCCCACTACTATTGTGCTGCTATCTATCTCTTTTCCTAGGTCTAGTAGTAATTGTTTTATGAATCTAGGAGCTCAAAAATTAGGTGCATACATATTTAGGATTGTTATATTTTCTTATTGTATTGATCCCTTTATCATTATATAATGACCTTGTCACTCTCTTTTTTACCATTGTTGCTAAGTCTGTTTTATCTAACATAAGAATAGCTATTCCTGCTTGCCTTTAGTTTCCAATTGCATGGAATGATTTTTCCCTTTACCTTGAGCCTATGAGAATCTTTACACATTGGGTGGGTCTCTTGAAGACAGCAGATATTTGGTTTGTGTTTCTTTTTAAATTTATTCTGCCAACCTATATCTTTTAATTAGGGCATGTAGAACCATTTACATTCAACATTCATATTGATATGCGAGGTATTTCCAGCCATCTGTTGATTGTTATTAACAATCCTGGTTGCTTTATTTTCTTCATTTTGTTACTGTTTTATAAACCCTGTGAGTTTTATCCTTTCAAGTGTTTTTATACTGATGCATATTAACCTTTTGTTTCAATATTTAGAACTTCTTTAAGCATTTCTGGTAGGGCTGGTCTAGTGGTGACAAATTAAAAGTCATTTTTTTTAAGTTAACATAACAATAACACTGAAACCTCATGCAAATAGAACTCCTCCCCCAAATGACCATAATAAACCAATCTTATGGAAAATTTTAAAAATTTAAATAAAATATGAAAAATTAAATTTATCAGTATATCAAAAAATGGTATACACCATGGTGGGTTGGTTTATTCCAAGAATTCAAGACTGGTTTAAGTATAGCAAATGTATCAATATAATTAATGTTATTAATAAGTAAAAGAGAAAAATATCAACATCTATTTCTAATAAAGACTTAAGGAAAATGGCTTAATTATGATAAGCCGTATTACTAAAAACTAATAGCAATCATCATGCCAAAAAGTGAATTTACTAAGCCATTACTATTAAAAGCAAAAACGAATAGTAATGCTGTCACCATTACTACTCAATACACTGGAGGTCTTAGCTAATGCTATGGAGTGTGAAAAAAATAAAGTAGTTACTGCAAATGTTTTAAAATAAAGAACAATATCTCAATTAAAATATATTTTTTAAAATCTGGCATCTTCTAGCCTTTTGTTGTTTGACCTGAAAATTATTTTTGAAAATTCAGAACAATATTTAAATGAGAAGATCTAATATTAAAATCAAGTTGTTTCATTTCTTTTATTATTATTTTTTCCAGATTCTCCTAAAAGCCTATATAGTTCCTTTTAAAAGACTATATAGTCTTTTAAATGAGAAGCCACGCACTGTAGCTCACACCTGTAATCCCAGCACTTTCGGAGGCCGAGGCAGGCAGACCACAAGGTCAGGAGATCAAGACCATCCTGGCTGACAAGGTGAAACCCTGTCTCTACAAAAAAAACAAAACAAAAACAAATGAACAAACAAAAACACTGAATGATATGGCAACCTGGGGTTATATTCTCACATGAAAAGTTGGAAGGAAGGTGAGAAGGAAGGAAGAAAAAGATAGGCAAAAAACAGTATTATTTCTACTGCAAGAGATGTAACTGTGTACCTAGAAAACTTAAGTGATAAAATTTAAATATTACAGAATTAATAAGAGAATTTGATGAGTGAGCACTATATATATACATGCAAACATTACACACATGAACAAAAAATAGATGTTTTCTTCTATACTTTTAACAGTGGGGAAAAGATTCATTCACAATGATGAAACTTGTAAAATATTTTGATAAAATGTTATTAGGTATAGGACTTGTATAATAGACACTATAAAATCTTAATGAAGAATACATAAAGTAAGACTTGAACATACAGAAAAGTTTATCATGTACCTAAAAGGAAGACCTAATTTATAAAAATATGTGCCTCTCAAAATTAATGTATAAAGTTAATATAGTTCTAATCAGAATCCCAATAGAGAGGTTTTGGTTTATTTTTGAACTGAACAAAATTATTTTAAAGAAGAAAATGTAAGAATAAGTACCAAGAACAGATAAAAAATATATATATTTTTAAAAGACAGGGCTGGATACAGTGACTCATGCCTGTAATTCCAACACTTTGGGAGGATAAGACAGGAAAACAGCTTGACCCCAGGAGTTCAAGACCAGCCTAGGCAACAAAGTGAGACCCTATCTCTACAAAAAATTTAAAAATTAGGCCAGGTATGGTGGCTCATACCTGTAATCCCAGCACTTGGGGAGGCGAATGTAGGAGGATCAATTGAGGACAGGAGTTCAAGACTAGCCTGATCAAATATAGCGAGATCCCATCTCTTTTCAAAATTAAAAAATAAGTAAAAATAAAATAAAAACATTATCCAGGCATGGTGGCATGCACCTGTGGTCCCAGCTACATGGGAGGCTGAAGTGGGAGGATTTCTTAAGCCCAGGAGATCAAGGCTGCAATGAGCACTGTTCATGCCACTGCACTCAAGCCTGAGTGACAGAGCTAGACCCTGCTTCAAAAAAATTTAAATTTAAATAAAAATAAAATAAAAATATGAGTAAAGGGTCACATGATGTACAGGGAAGCACTTTGGCATAATAGTTTAGAACAGGGACTCTGAAACTATAATGCATGGATTAAAACTAAGTAAAGTTCTGCTTGTTAGTGGTGGTATGAAGCTGGGCATGTTTCTAAACTTCTCTGTCCTTAAATTTTATTATCAGTAAAAAGGAGATATTTATACTACCTTCCTCATAGAGTATGTGTGAGGATTTAATGTAAATTCATCAGAATAGGATATGGCAAATACTACAATTTGCAGTGTGTTATTATAATTACCATAAAGTCAGTACATCCAAAGAGTACCACAAAGGTCCAGAAGTAAGCAAATATATAACAGAACTACGTAAAGAACCATAAATAGAGGGCAGTATACATGGAAACTTAATGTACCACAAAGGTAGAATTTTAGTTCAGCGGAGAAAAGTAATTTACTTACAGAAGTGGCACAATGGGCCTGCCATCTGGAAGAAATGCATGTCGTATACAAAAATAAATTCCAGATGGATTTCAGATTTGAATGTAGCAAAAAAATAAATAAAATTTTTAGAAAATTTAGGAGAATAATCAACCTTGGGATGAGAGAAACATATTTAAATAGTACAGAAAACTCAGATGCAGTAAATGAAAAAGGCAGACATATTTGACAACATACAATTTAACATTTCTGTATAGCAAAAAATATAAGCATAAAAATAAGACAAATGATTATCTGGGGAAATATTTGCAACACATTTATCCAGTTAACAAATATTTGCTTGAACAACTTTTATGTGATAGGTGCTATGGGATTTCAGTGCTGAATAAAGCAAACATCCTTGCATTCATGGAATTTACATTCTATTGACAAATGATACGTATGACTGATAATATACAAAGAGTTCTTACAAGTGAGAAAAAAAGAAACAACCTAATTGAAAAATAAGAAGAAAATACGAATAGACAATTCAGAGAAGAATGCCAAATAACCATAAAGATACAAAAGATCTATTGCATTCATATGGTGGAAATACTGCATATTTCTTCCCAACTCTGTGTTCAGTGACCTCCTGACAGTTTGAACACAGCCATAATGAGAATATTTGCACCATAGAAATCAGCAACTGCTACAGGTCAGGATTTGATTTACTGCTTTTTTGGTCTAAACTTAAGAACGTAATAGAAAAGAATGTTGAAAACGTAGATTCAACATAAAAGCATGGTGTGTCTGTAACCATTACGTTATGAATAGAACAAAACAATAAGGAAATATTATTCCAGTATTTCAAAATTGTTATTTAATTCAGCAAAGAAATCACTTCCCTCGCTGATAAATAAGTGAAGTTCTGATGTATAGTGCTGAAGCTGAGATTTCCATTTAATGTATATAATTTGTACAAGGATGAAAAATAGTTTAATAGTAGATCACATTTCAGGTTTAATAACAATAAAACTATTAGGGAAAGACTTAGTGAATTGGAATGCAACTCCATTTGTCAAGCCATGGTTGAATGGCAATCATAGGTTGCATACAGATGTAAGAGTTCAGCAAAAATTAATCAAAGCATTCTGGGCAATGCATGGTGGCTCATGCCTGTAATACTAGCACTTTGAGAGGTCAAGGAGAAAGAATTGCTTGATCCCAGGAGTTGAAAACCAGCCTGGGCAACAAAGTGAGACCTTGTCTCCACACAAATTTTTTAAAAATTAGCTGGGCATGGTGGCCCTTGCCTGTATTCCCAGCTGCCTAGCAGGCTAAGGTGGGAGGATTGCTTGAGCCCAGAAAGTCAAGGCTGCAGGAGTCATGATCGCACCACTGTGTAATCAGAGTGTGTGTGTGTGTGTGTGTGTGTGTGTGTGTAGAGCCAGTTACATATTTGCCAGCATACCACTGCTTCCGCCTACATCTCTTTGACCAGAATTTATTCACCTGGACAAGGAAGGCTTGTTCTACTCCAGGCAATCTCATAGCCAGCTAAAAATTCTATTGTTATGGTAAGGGGTAGACTGGATTTGTACCCATGTGTGTCTGGCTTCAATTTTTTTTTTCTTCAAACCATTTTCTCCCTCCAGAAACGTAACACACTGACGTTGAGGTGATGGTGGAGTAAAAGTACAAGCAGAAGATTTTGTTCCAACTTCCCCATAGGTATGTATTAATAAGATGACTAATAAAGCAAAGGGTTTCTGTCACAGAGAAAAGAAATCAATGAATGGTTAGGGTTAGGAGGTCAATGTGAACAATCTGTATTCTCTGGGAAACTCATTGGCCTGCAGGGATATTAAACCTATGAATTTATCTAGGGAGGAAGGAAGCTATGTACCTATCTCCATTTTTTTTTCAGATGCAGTTCACATGATTATTTTATGATTCAGAAATAAACATTCCTACAGACACATCATGAGAGATCGGTGGTGACCGGGAAGGGAAAGGAGGACTTGGACATGGGAATGAGGTGAAAAATTGGAAATTTGCCTTAACCCAGTTAATCAGTAATGTCCTCACATTTACGTATTTAGCTCTGTGTATAAATCTTATCTACTAAGTTTTAATCCCTTTGAAGGCAGGAAGCATATCTTGTACATTTCCTACATTTCCACAGTTATATGAGTGAACTGTGATTAAATTTACTCCATAATTGTTTATATGTGTCTTATTTCTCACATATTCCCTAAGAAATGAGAAATTCCTTGAGAGTGAGTATTCCCTGAAAGGAAGAGAGCTATCTCTTCCATCTGGACCAATCGGTTTTTCAATTCTTTATCAACAGACGTCCATTAAACTCTTGCCATATGTGAAGCACCATAGAGAGAAAATACTGGCCACATCTCCATCTTAGACGAGGAGCTCCATGGAGGGTAGGGATCACATTGTTTCCTTCTGGAATTCCACAGAAAACTGTGATATTCAGCATGCAAGTTTCATTACAAAAAAAACTAACATTGGCAGGGCGCCATGGCTCACACCTGTAATCCCAGCACTTTGGGAGGCCGAGACAGGTAGATCACGAGGTCAAGAGATCGAGACCATCCTGACCAACAGATGAAACCCGTCTCTACTAAATCCCAGCACTTTGGGAGGCCCAGGTGGGTGGATCATGAGGTAAAGAGATCAAGACAATCCTGACCAACAGGTGAAACTCGTCTCTACTAAAAATACAAAAATTAGCTGGATATGGTGGCGCATGCCTGTAGTCCCAGTTACTCAGGAAGCTGAGGCAGGAGAATTGCTTGAACCTGGGAGGCAGAGGTTGCAGTGAGCCAAGATTGCGCCACTGCACTCCAGCCTGGCAACAGAGTGTTACTCTGTCTCGAAAAACAAACAAACAAAAAAACACTAACGTGTATTGAATGTTATGTGCTGGCATTGAACCAAATGCTTTACATATATCTTTGCTTTTAAGACACATAACAACCTTATGAGGTGGGCACTGGTATTACTCCTACTTTATAGATAAGGATACTGAAAGTTAAGAAAATAAGTAATGCAAACTCATACAGCTCTGAAGTATCAGAATTCCTGAATTCCAAATTCGGAATCACTGCCTTGCCGTGGACTGCCATCAGGGCCAGTTCTCTGAGGCAACCTGAATACAGCACATGCCATTAAACAACCTAGCTTCGTAGCTCCATTATGTCACTAGGCTTTTCCCCCAGTCCCTCCCCCTGTTATCCAAGACAACAGATAAGAATTAGAGGTAGTTTTTTATACTAGATGCCATGTAACAGAATCAGTGATGAACACCATTTTTGCTGGGTGTTAAGGTTTGGTTCTGTGGTTTGTGTTATAGATCACTTTCACCTGTCTCTAGCTAATTAAAAACTATGAATCGCCTTGTTTGCTGAAACTGGCTGCCATGAAATGTTGAAAATGCTTTAAAATAAACAGTCACATTGAAGAGTATCTTTTAAAAATTCCTGCTTTATGGGGTTCAAGATGGATGTCTGGACTCATGCATTTATAATCCCTTTATCCAAATGCTTACTGAAACAAGATTAAAGATATATTAAAAAAAAAAGAATAGAAGGGAGAATCCAGAGAATGTAATGACTTTCTGGAAAAGAGAGTGATTAAGATTTAAATTTACAGGTAAAAGCAGCGCATTTGGTAGCCCCAAAAGCAAATAAAAGATGAAGGCAGAGTTGTATAAGAAATAATGAAATAATCACAGAATAGGATGGAAAATGTATACATTACTGGACAGAAGAAAAGTAATACTATAACTGATCCAGGTTGGGAGAAGAGGGGAGCAGATGAAGTAGAAATGTTAATATCTGCATTGTTAATCACAAAGAATGAAAAGATATTGTCTAAAGTGGACTGTATAAGAACTAGACACTTAAGTGTGTTATATAAAGTTGTAAGGGTAATCAGTAGACGAGCCAATAGTAAAAATATAATTAATAAAACTTGGCAGTGAAAAGGAAGTGAAAAGTCATATACATGGCTAAATTCCTCGTCTTTCATAGCAAGAAGTCAATTGATAAGATATAGATTTGGTAAATCAAGAAATAAATAATTAGCATATTGTTCTAAATGATCATGATAACTAGCCAACAAAAGAACTAAAAATAGGCCAGCTGCAGTGGCTCACACCTGTAATCCCAACACTTCGGGGGGCCAAGGTAGGGGGGATCACTTGAGGTCAGGAATTCAAGGCCAGTCTGGCCAACGTAGTGAAACCTTGTCTCTAATAAAAATACAAGAGAAATTAGCCGAGCATTGTGGTGCATGCCTGAGGCCCAGCTATTTGGGAGGCTGAGACAGGAGAATCACTTAAGCCCGGGAGGCAGAGGTTGAGCTGAGATTGCACCACTGCACACCAGCCTGGACAACAGAGTGAGACCCTGTCTCAAAAAAAAATAAGAAGAAATTGCTGAAAATTGATTTTTTTTTTTTAAGATGGAGTCTTGCTCTGTCACCCAGGCTGGAGTCCCATGGCACGATCTCAGCTCACTGCAACCTCTGCCTCCTGGGTTCAAGCAATTCTCCCGCCTCAGTCTCCCAAGTAGCCTGGATTACATGCTGAAAATTGATACTTTTTATCTATTTTGGAGGAAAAGCTTTCACATATATACCAAAAAGTAGGGACAATGATATTTGTTGCAGCTCCATGTTGTAATAATGAAGAGCTGGAAATATCTAAATGTTCATTGTACATAAATAAACTATCCCACATTCATAGTTACAGCAGTTTAAAGAAGCAATGAAGATATATTTACTGACATGGAAAGATATTCCAAACATATTGTTAGGTCAAAAAAGCCAGAAGCTAGATAACAAATGTGGTATATCATTTCTGTAAAATAAAAACCAAAACATGCATACTTATAAAGATCGTAAAAATCTGGGAGAAAATCAACCAGTGTTTACAATGGTCGTTACCTCTGAGAAGGTGAATGTAATTGGGGTGATGATCAAGAGGGACTCAGCTTATTTGTATGCTATATAGTTTGAAATTTTTACAAGAGAATGTTCATGCATGATTTGTGTAAGCTAAAACTTATAATCTGTAAGTGGATACCACCAGAGCAGAGAAGTGGATACCACACAGGACACAGTCTTTTCATTTAATGCCACTCTATGACGTAGTAACTTCTTTTTTTAACTGCATATATATATATATATTACTTTAAAATAATACTTTTAAGCAACCACAACAAAAATCAATGTTTTCTCTCCTTTAGTGACAAAAAACTTCACAGAACAGTGTTTCTGCAGATAGTTCTGTAAGCCCAAAGGTTGCCCTCCCACCAGCCCCATAAATGGTTGTTATTTATGACTACTTCATGACAGAGATGTGTACAGCTATTTACCATTTCTTCTGGGAGGATGGATGTTCACATTCATATGAGACAAAAACAAATCAAGATTCAACTAGACGGGCTGCTGTGGGCTGGGGAATTAGAAGAGCAAAAATAAAAATAAAAAACAAACCCAGCAACCTATTCCAGTAAATCACTTCTCCTTTCTGTCTTGTTCTTAAGAAAGAATTTAACAACCTCGTTGGGGTTGCAGACATTTTTATGTACTCACCACAGAGTTTTAAAAAGCATGAACAAAGTGTTTGGCTGAACTAGTTTCTGGACTGGAAGCCAGATTGTAATCATGGTGTATCTCTTTGTCCAGGGTTCGCTATTACAGTGTTTGAGTGTGTGTATGTCATTTTGACAATGGCCCCTCTCTTCTTTCCTATCTTTTGAGCACTCTTTCAGAAAGCTCCAAAATTTTATCAGAACTTATAGGTTTCCCTTCTTAAGACCAAGTATCACTTGAACATGATGGGGATGAGAGAATGTTTCCATTCTTATTCAAATTCTGACCTTCTGACTACCTTCTTCCTTGAACATCCCACCATTTTGATCATTCTGAGCCTTGAGGAGTGGGTTGAGCTGAACCTTCTCTTCTATCACTTTTCTTTTAGGTATGAGTCACTGAGAGAAAACCTAGGTTCTTTCTAAACCAAGCACCACAGACCTTGGTTCAGATGGTAATGTTGAGCACCTTTTTTATTACCCATAAAGGAATTAACATTAATTAGTGCCAATTTAATAATGGAGTTTGTTCACAAATAAATAAAAATAGTATTTAATGCTTTCAACATCACTGTAATGCTGAGTATTTTATTTTATTTTTTTGTTTGTTTATTTATTTATTTTTTGTTAGGGAAAAGGTCTGCACTATATTGCCCAGGCTGGACTCTTGGGCTCAAACAATCCTCCTACCTCAGCCTCCTGAGTATCTGGGACTACAGGCACTCCACACAGCACCCAGTTTAGGCTGGATATTATTATTACCATTTTAAAGAAGAGGAAGCTGAGGTGAGAAGAGTTAGGAACTTCACCCTTGGAGACGTATTACAACAAACTGCTCTCCCTTCCCGGACTTTAAAACAGCTCTCTTGGTCCAGTTATCTAACTGGAGATCTTTATTAAAATGCCTCCTGGGCCTGCTTTTATAAAAGCACCTTTATGCGATTTAGTAAACTTCCAAGGATTTTAATGGGAAAATATCTTAATGAATCCCTTTGAAGTTGCTAACTTTCAGATATATTTGCAGTGACACCATGAGTTGCTTTTTAACGCGTTGAAACAAAGTACCCTATCTTTGATGTTAGGCTCCGAATCCTAACCCACCTTCTCCCTGGGGCAGTACATTTAGGGCAGTGGACTGCTACTTGAAAAAAGGATCCATATATGTGGTGTCCTCATTATCACCCTCCCTCTGAACCCACTTCTTTTTTAGCTGATGTTTGTAGCATCACTCCTGGGCTTTAAGATTCTCAAGAGCGGACAGTCAAGTCTCCCCACTCAGAGCCAAGTAGGTTAAAGAAGAATATAGAGGTCAAAAAAATATCACCATAATAGAAACATCACAGGGTCACCCCTATACCACCTCATGTCAGCTGAATCCCAGGCCCTGACATTACCCAACTACCTCACATACTTAGACCAAACTAAGAAGGGCTCAAAGTCTGGAGTTTGGTGTATCACGCCAAGCCTTCATTTACCCCATTGATTTTTTCCATCTGCACCTTCCCCCATTAACTAGGCAATACTGCTCCCATGTGATATAGGCTTGTTCCCCAAGCCCTTTCCCTCCTCTTCCCAAGTGGAGCCATTCCCACTCTCTGCTTCATTCCCATTGCTCCAAAATGTCTATGCCTTCCACAGTTAGCTAGCCTGTATAAGCCATGCAAATATACCAAAAGGCTTAGACTAGAATCTCCTTTCTCTTCCCAAATAAATTACACATAGTTCCTTCAAGACTAAACATATCCAAAACTAAAAATAAATAGTATAAATACGTACAATGCCCCCCACCTTATTTTGTAAGTAAGTTATCATGAAAATCTTCAACCATCAGTCCATTTTCCATAGCATCCTTTTTGATGTTTCAAAATTCATTTATACTTCCCTGTCTTCCCACTGTTGAGCACTTAGGTTTTCTCTAGTTGTTGGACATAATGAACATTTTACACCTGAATCTGTACACACAAAGCATGATTTCTGTATTAGAAGGAACATAGCCATGGTGAATAGGGAGGAGGGCCCTAGAAGCCCTGTTATGAAGCTCTATTTTGTGTGTGTGTGTGCCTGAGGTGACCTTCCTTTTGACAGTACCTGCTTACCTTGGCTTACAGTCATACTTGGGGACTGACTTAGGGAAAGGGCTTGGGGGCTGATAAAGCTTGATATTTGTGTCTAAAAATTCACTTTTATTGTATATACTTCTTTTTATCAGCTTCAGTAAAAGCTGGTGAAATAAAGCCAACATTCTCATGGCCAATTCATGAGAATCTGTCTGGGCAATTAGAAAAGCAATTAAGTTCCTACAGTAAATATGGAGTTTGTGGGGCCAACAGCTGATCTGAGCCTTGGACTGGCTGCTTTTTCTTCCTTTACCTCTGAGCCCTTTTTTTCTGAGTTACAGAAGATTAAGAGAGGCAGTAATTGTCCTCTCTTCCAACATTATGTTGGAATACAGGTGTAATGACGATGATGGTGACAATGGTAATGATGATGAGGAGGACAATGATGATGATGTTCACAATGATAACACAACTTCAGTCACACGTCACTTAATGTTGGGGACAGATTCTCCGCAATGCATTGTTTTCTCTTTCACCTGTGTGAACATCACAGAGTGTACTTACACAGATTTAGATTGTACAAACATGTAATTCACA